TCTGTCTGCTATTTTTTTTCATGTGTTACGAAATATTCAAATTTACTCGAATTAAAACTTAGCCGACGACTCACTACCAATCATGATCATAAATTGTCGTATAACACCATTATTCGGCAAATTTCTGTTATTCAAAATTTTTGCCGAATAATGTATACTTATTGGTCTTAAGTCTCAATTCATATTAACGTTAAGAATTGACTCAAGCCAATTAATAATTGTCAGGATTTAAAAATAATGAGCAACGCAACATTAAGTATAGCAATGATTTACAAGTGCGTCACCACGTGGCAGAGAAAATTACACGACAAACATTCGTGACATGTTAAACAATTCGAATTATATTTGCAAAAAAGGATAAAATATAATAACAGTTGATATAAAATAAGTGTCTATACTATATTTTTATCCGTAAAAAGAAAACAAAACAATTATAAAATTTGTTTATACATACCCCTTGGCTTATTTGTAGGCTTAATAACTTGTAGCATAGGTTACATTTCTCCATTATCAATAAATTACAACATATTAACGGTGTCACCTATACTATAAGAGCTAATTAAAATTAAAACATCTCTCTTGTGTTCATGATTTATTATAAATCAGGGTTCATGCTCACTTTTTAAACACTATAAAGTTCATACTGATAAAACTTCAATTTGAAAGAATAGTGTTTATATTTTAATACGAAATGAATATCACTAAGAGTATAATTATCTTTTTCGTTGTGTGTATGTTTATCGCTTCTAGTGTTCTTGCCCAAGAGTAAGTTTTCAAAGTTAACACCATTGAGAATCTAATGGTTTCTGCCGTTTTTCTAAAATATCTTTTATATTTTTCCTATTATCCTGAAAGCACTGTTTCTGATGCGGTAGAACCTTCAACTTCACCTGGAGGCGAACCATCTCCAACTCCGCCCGGTGCCACTCCTTTAGGTAGCTCCACACTGACAGGTTCTGTTGGTTCTACACCGACAGTTACCGCTGGTTCTGCGCCGACAGGTTCTGCTACTGGTTCAGCTGCCGTTTCTCCCGCTTCTTCCGCTTCAGCTGCTGAAAGTGGCAAAAGTTCTACCACGCCTTCCACGTAAGCATTTTCAAGAAATTTTCTTAGTTAATTATTTTAGTTAATTATCTTTATTAATTAATTCTCATATACAATTACTTTTTAAAAAAGTACAAAACCCCAGCTACAACAAGCGCCACAAGTGCGAGTGCTGCTTCAAATGTTCAAGTTGGCAGTATTGAATTGATCAGTGGTTATTTGATCGCTTTATTCATTGGTGGTTTATTATTTTAATTTTGGTCCGCAGCTCAAAGGATGTTGTAAAATTTTTTTGTAACTTTCTTTG